TGGATGGACAGATGGAGGGATGGATGGATGGTTGGGTGGATGGATGGATGGATGGATGGATGGATGGATGGATGGTTTGGTGAATGGATGGATGGATGGATGGATGGATGGACAGACGGATGGACAGATGGATGGATGGATGGTTTGGTGGATGGATGGATGGATGGATGGATGGGTTGGTGGATGGATGGTTGGGTTGGTGACTGGGTGGGTTGGTGGCTGGCTGGCTGGGTGGATGGATGGACAGATGCACGGGCGGATTAGAAGCTGCATGAACGCACGGCAGACTCTACACTCAATCCAGGTCAGCAGAACAATCCTGTTTACTAAAGCTGAGAAACTGTCTCATGTTGTAACTGTTTGTTTAAAAAAAAAAAAAAAAAAAAAAGCTTCGGAGACAAAACAGAAGACCGAAAGAGCATATTAAGGAAGTGGATGGACTGAGCGATCCTCGGATGAAAAAAACAACTTAACAAAAACGATGCTCTAGAGAGTTTCTTGAAAAGCATCTTGCTCCTGCCTGCTGGGGTAGGTACTAACGCCCTGCGATCTAGCCGCCGTGGACGCTCCAGTGGGGAAAACTGTTGCCGCGCCTGCAAAACGGAAGGGCGTTCGGGGCGCGCCGGGGCCCGGGGAGCCAAGCCCCCGCTCAACGCTGCTCCCTCCACCCAGATATCGCCCTGCCCGTGGTCTCCATCCTCCCGCCTTCCTTGGAGGACCTCTACCTCAGCCAGAACGCCAGCATCACCTGCGTGGTGGCCAACGTCAAGACGCCCGCCGACGTCAGGTTCTCCTGGCAGCGGCAGAAGGGCAGCGCTCTGGACGTGACCTCCGAGGAGCCGGTGCAGCAAGGCGATGGCCTCTACCGCGTCACCAGCGTGCTGAAGGTGTGCGCCGAGGAGTGGAACTCCGGCGAGGTCTTCACCTGCACCGTGGCCAGCTCCGAGCTCTCCTCGCCCGTCACCAAATCTGCACAGAAGGAACTAGGTAGGCGCTCACCCTTTCCTGCCCTTCTCCTCTGCCCCGCTCTGAGCCCCCCACCCCGGGGGCACAGCGGGGTCGGCAGCGAGGGAAGAGCAGGTCTAGGCCAGTTGGCTGGAAGAGTCGAATCGACTCGGGGAGTCAACTGGGAAGGGCTGCTGGGAGAGCCTAGGCTACTGGGAGAGTCGACTGGGCCAGGCCATGGGAAGGGGTTAGTCTACTGGGAGAGTCTAGCCTGCTGGGAGGGTCAAGTGGGCCGTTCCAGTTAGGCTACTGGAAGGGTCTAGCCTCCTGGGAGAGCCAACTGGGCCAGGCTGCTGGAAGGGTCTCATCTACTGGAAGGGTCTAGCCTACTGGAAGGGTCTAGCCTCCTGGGAGAGCCAACTGGACCAGGCTGCTGGAAGGGTCTTGTCTACTGGAAGGATGTAGTCTACTGGGAGAGCCAACTGGACCAGGCTGCTGGAAGCGTCTCGGCTGCTGGAAGGGTCTTGACTACTGGAAGGGTCTAGCCTCCTGGGAGAGCCAACTGGGCCAGGCTGCTGGAAGGGTCTTGACTACAGGAAGGGTGTAGTCTACTAGGAGAGCCAACTGGGCTGGTCTACTGGAAGGGTCTTGTCTACTGGAAGGGTCTAGCCTACTGGAAGAGCCAACTGAGCTAGTCTACTGGAAGGGTCTTGTCTACTGGAAGGGTCTTGTCTACTGGAAGAGCCAACTGGACCAGGCTGCTGGAAG